TGACGTTCTTTATATCCACAGAAAGCTCTCGACAAGATCTACAACTTCCATTTAGACTTTGTCAGCTAGTTTTGAATCCATTTTATTTACATAGACTTAGCCTATTAAATCCTGTATAAAATGCATATCTCTCACATCTAATGTTCATTTTCGATGGTTTTTATATTTTCTGAATTCTATTAACGAGACGTTCAATTCTTGTTTTGATTGTTTTGGCCAAAAATCAACCAATTTAAAACTCGATTTTTGTGCGCACACTACTACACTGAAATCTTAGAAAAACCATAACTTCTTCTATTGAAGTCAAATCGACGTTCCTTGTATGCACAAATTCGATTTTTCCTAATACTACGACTTCCGTTTAGATCAATAGGGCTAATAAGTAACCTATCTCCAGACTTAGACTATTAAAGCCAAATGTCATCCTATTTACACAGACTTAGCCTATTAAAGCCCGTATAAAATGCATATCTCTCACATCCAGTGTTCGTTTTCGATGGTTTTTATATTTTTGAAATTCTATTAACGAGACGTTCAGTTCTTGTTTAGATTCTTTTGTCCAAAAATAAACCAATCTATTCGATTTCTATACGCACACTGCTACACTGAAATCTTAGAAAAATTATAACTTCTTTTATTGAAGTCAGATTTGGACGTTTCTTGTATGTACAAATTCGCTTTTTCCTAATACTACAACTTCCGTTTAGATCACTAGGGCTAATAAGTAACCTATCTCTAACTCACTATTTACGACATATACGATAACTTGGTTAAGATTATTTATCCTAAACAATCTCTTACTAAAAAATCATTACTATGGCTTATAATAACTTTATTTCCTAGCCCGGATTTACGAGTGTTAAAATTTTCAATCAAATCATTCAGTTTGGAGAACTTGTGTAATCGACCTATAACTAGGTTATAGAAATCGCGAATACGCCTTGGCCCTCAAAAGATAACACTAGCGATTAGGTGACCTTTATCCACTAGTGCATACAAGTGACATGTGCGTTCTATTCAAATTGGACTGCATAAATGTGAGTTTAATAAGGGGTGTTTTAATGGTTTTATAATTGTAGTTTAAAACACATTTGATATCGTGGTTATTGCATGCATCCAATAAGACATTATATACTTTTATTTAAAATCACGTTTTATCAATGATCTTTTATAAAATCCATGTTTTATATAATTGACGAGATCAAATTTTAAATTCAATATCTACTACTAAGTATGGACGTTTGAGCGCTAAATAACATTTATAAACCTTTTGATAAACTTTCTTTTATAAAATAACATTTGGAGTTTGATAAGTCTCTAAAATCTCAATTTTAAACTTAAAGAATTTTAATCGCGAAATATTTTGTTAGCTAGTTTAAACGATAAAACCCATTTTATTTTCAAAAACTTTTTACCATCTTATTTTAAAATATAATTTTCATTAAAACCAAACTTTTTGTAATCATTTTTATGCTTAAAAGATTATCTAGCAATTTCAAAATATAATTTTACAAACATGCATAATATATATATATATATATATATATATATATATATATATATATATATATATATATATATATATATATATATATATATATATATATAAACATAACATAAGAATCACAAAGATTTAAAACATATGTGCATAAACCAACCACTTCTAGTGATATTTTATGAGACATCACAAAAATATCAAATCTATTCTTAAGGGACATAAAGGGACAAAAACCTCTTATAATGTCGTTATGCTCCCACTTGCTTCAACATCTTCTATCAAGTTTATGAACTTTTGATCTTCAAAATGGTCGTCATCTTCATTTTTATTACATTTTTATAAAAATAAACTATTTCTAAAACTAACATATTACTTATAAAAATTTAAAAAAAATGAAAGCTATCTATTTAATTATTATATACCATATGAATAAATAAACATTACAACCATTTTAACATATCAACACAAATAAAATCACAAGAGGTCCAAAGCTAGTTTATGTATATCATACACACACATACATACACACACATACACACACACACACACACACATATATATATATATATATATATATATATATATATATATATATATATATATATATAACAACACGTTGCTTTTTAAGACAACTTTGGTGACAATGTAAACTTTTATCACTAAAAAATAACAATTATAAAGTTGTCATATAAAATATGTATGTATTTTCTTACAAAAAGAAAACTATCCATGTTATACCAATTATTGAGTTTTATTCAAACAAAACTACAAGATTAGCAATCGATGCATTTAAGTTTTGAATAAACTTAAAACCATTTTAATCCACTAATGATCATTTTCCAATAATGGAAAAATTAAATCAACCATAGAAAGGAAAAGATTGCAACCTGTGAAGTCTTTGATTCTCATGGGAGATGGAAATTGATGAGGTGATGCATGAAGCTCCAAAGTAGAAGCTCTCTAGAGGTATCCACCAAGAAAGAGTAAAGCACTAAAACATGCTAGTTTGTACTTGTATCAAGTTTCTTTTTAATCCTTTAAAGTTTATAACAAATAAACCTTAAAATAATAAACAACTTAAACACCCAAATCTACACTACACCACGCAAGAGAGATAAGAGAAAAAGATCCAAGGAGTTCTCGATTTTAGGAGGAGAAAATAAAAAGTGATCAAAACTAGAAAGTTTTTGGTCTATACACTTCTTCATATACTTCTACTAATGTACCAAGTCAGAGCTATTCATTAAATGAAAGTATGGAACCTTATGACAAGAATGGTATAAAGAAAAGGAAAGACAACACTCAAACTCCAACTCCTTATGGATTTCACGACTTTGGCAAGAAATTCAAGAAGCATGGAGTGTCTTTCACTTAATCTCATAACTAGGTAGTTACGTGCCAACTAAATGATTACTTAAGGTGTCCAGTTAATTTGTACATTATATATATATATATATATATATATATATACCCACACACATACAATATGAATATAACTAGTTTTTGTTATCTTTTATTATTATTCCCTAGAAACAATAATTCCAAAATACTTGTTAAATATTATTTCCATAAAATAATAATTCTTCAATTAAATACAAGTGTTGATAATATTCATTAATAGTCATCTTACTCTAAAAAATAATTAATCAATGGTAACTTGCTATAAAGTATGACCCTATATGTTCATATGCCGTTAACAAATATCATTCTATAATAACTCTTGGGCATAAAAATCATTCACATTTGCCCTGTTGAATAAGTATTGAACGTGTCTAGTGGATTTGAAAGACCAGACTTTGATTTTAATTGAATTGGTTGATTTGTTTTGATGACCAGACCACACTCACTCCTTAACACCATTGGTATCGATGATCTATAACCTCGATCTTTCTCTTACAAGGAGTTCAACAATAGGACGATCAAATGGGTACCTATCAAGTGGCTAAACCCCGAGACCATTTATTGAGTAGGGAATGTCCCAATTTTCATCACCAAAGGGCAAATTGAAAGAGAATTAAGGGGCATAACTTTCATTAGTGAGGAGAACGATGTCATCTAGACAGTTTATGTCATCAGGGATTACTGGTTGCTCTTGCTCTTATTATTTGAATAGGGAGAAGATAGGTTTCTTATCATTTTCATCATCTTCATCTTCAACAATGATCTTGTCAGGGATTGACATGTAGTGCTTAGTCTAACTTGTGGCTCTTGAGCTCCTCCATCTTGTCAAGGATTGACATGTAGTTTTATTAGAAACAATTAAATGTGAGTTTTAGTTTTATTAGAAACTTCAATTTTCTTCAAGTTTTCACAAGTAAGAATGTCAAGTGGATAGGAACATAAAACACACTTGCACCATCATTTGAATGAGACAAAAAGTTTTAAGACAGAAAAAAATATATTCTTATATTTTTGAGATTTTAATAAGGGTCGGTGATGTTCAAAAAGAGAAATATTGTTCTTAATCTTTTGTGCATCACTTAAATGTTTGTGAAAGTATTTGATATTCCTATCCATTTGACATTCTCGTTTGTTGAAAACATAAAAAAGATTAAAATTTCAAGTGAATGTAATGTTCGAATGATATTAATTTCTAATTATTATAATTACGGTGGTTATTAAGTCATACTTTAATGTTTAGTTATTTTTGATGAAGATGAAAAAAACAGATTTACAACATAAAATTTTATAAAATGAAAATTAATAGATTAATAGATTTTTTTAATAAAATTAAAGTGAAAAATTAAGACGGTAACAAATTACAAGGTAACAAAATTTTATTTTTACTTACTCACTTGGTTTTTTAAATGTATATTTTACTAGAGAATTTAGTTTGGATATTCAAAAAATATCTTTATAATTTCATAATAATATTTTTTAAGTATAAAAAATAAATTAACCAATAGAAAAAAAAAATAGAAAGTTTATTACGACAAGTCACTTTCTTCTTTTTAACAACAAAAAGTTGTATATTATCAAGAGATCTAAAAGGTTGTTAGAAAGATTCCAAACACCCTAAACTTTTTAAGTTGGCCGACATATGTATATGTCATGTGTTAGTCATAGATGAATTGTTAGAAAAAGGTATCAATCATAGAACAATTCTTAACTCAAAGGATAGAAATATATGAATGTACCCATAACTAATGTTATTCTTATTTTAATATATTTTTAAGCACGATTGATATAATCTAAGACCAAACCACCCAAAAATTGTCATTCAAATATTATCTTTTGAAAGATATAACATCACTATATGTAATTGATGATATTTCGATTCATTTAATATGTATTAATTAATACAATATAAATTATATATTTTTTAAACGTAATCTAGATATTTTATATGCATCTTGTTGAGGAAAACGTTGACTTTTTTTTCTCAAACTATTATACAAGAAAAGGCATATACACAGTTAACCAAGATGACATCTGTTTCATCACTTCTTCACTTCAAGAACTCTCAACCAACAAATTCATAACAAATTTCTGAATCATTTAAAACTCTCTCTCTCTCTCTCTCTCTCTCTCTCTCTCTCTCTCTCACACACACACACACACACACACAGATAGACGAGAGTTCTTGAGCTTTGTGTGAAAATGGCAGGAGGGTCTTTCGCACCAGGAGGAGTAGCGAAGGCGAGAGCAGATGAATATGAAGGGAAGGTGACGACTTACGTCATCGTTGCTTGCATTGTTGCTGCTGTTGGAGGCTCGATTTTTGGCTATGATATTGGAATCTCAGGTAACATAATCTTCTTTAATTAATTCATCACAAAATTCCAACTACGAATTCAGTCCCAAATATGAATCGAAAACAAAACATAAGGAGATTGATGAATACTTGTAGCTTTCTGTTTTGCTAAGTTCTGGTCCACAATTTGAGCTTCAATTTGTCCATTCATTCAAATAGATGTGTTTGGTATGAATAAACTATTGAAATAAATGAAAATTTACAAAAAAAAATAATAATAAATGAATAAATAAATCCCAGTATTATTTATGTGTGATTTTTAATGATATAATTCTTTTTAATTTTCCATTATTTATTTTATTTTGTTTTATAAAGATAATACAAAAATAATATCACCATTTCCAAAAAAAAAAAAAAAAAAAAAAAAAACTGCAATGGATCGATTGCCAATTGCTATATTGTTTTCTAAAATGGTCATAGCCACAAATAGCCTTTAAAGAAAACTTGGTAGAAAAATCATATATTTCTCAATATATTATTTTATTCTGTAATATGTGAATGTAATTTGCAACGTTTATTGCAATATAAGACTGTATTTCGTAATATATTATTTTTAGTTAAAAATTAAAGATTTTTCTTGAACTTTATGTATTTAAAATTTTCAATCTTTCACTTTCTAATCTAATATAATTATTATATAAATTTAAATATCTATTAAAATGTAATTTTTTTTTTCATATTAATATCATATTAATGGTAGATAACTAGATATAAGACATTTTGAATTATCAGTATAAGACAATTCTTTCTTTTGATTTAAATGTGATGCTAAATTCAAAACTTAAATCTATGAAATTAACTTAAAAAATATTTAAATACTATTTTTTAAGTAGTTAAAAAGATATATATATATATATATATATATATATATATATATATATATATATATATATATATATATATATATATATATATATATATATATATATATATATATATATAATTTAACATATGTATTCGTTATTACACCATATTTATTTGAAACCATCATAAATTCATAACCTTTGATATTTGAACTTATATCTTATATTAATGACATTTACTAATTAATTTACTAATTAAGATTTAACTAATTTATAAATTTTGTACCTATATAAATAGGATTTTTCACCAAAAAAAAAAAAATTCATGAACTCTTAATTGGTTTTTTGAAAAAAAAAAAAAATCTTACTCAAAGAGTTATATTTTTTAATGGAACCATAACTCTTCATATCAGCACTAACACATATGTGAAATGGTTTTCTTTATAACGACATCAAATGGATTATTTTGAACAAGTTATGTCCTCGAAGTTCTAGCAAGTTGTTAAAATTAAAATGTATGGTTGATTTCAATGTTTACTTAAATAGCGTGAAATAGCTTGTGTATTTTTTTTAGGCTACGAAATAAATAGCCGCACTTTTTATTGACTTGTGTATTATTGCATTCTATTTTTATTTTCCATATTACCGCAATGATTTTAAAAATAAAAATGATCTTTCAAAGTTGCAATTGTTGAATACGACGCTTTGTGTTGTCATATGCTTATTATATACATATTTTCCTAAATGAAATATTTCACCTATAGATAATGAATAGAGACATACGTAGACATAGGTGTTTGTGGTTGCACTAAGTGGAAATCGGTTATATGGTATTTGCATATGCATCAAGGTGTTGAGATTTGTTTTCAAAATTAACAATACATGAAAAGATTAATTAGATGGAGTCAATATTTTCATATCTTTTCTTCTAATTTTTCATTTTCAAATTTCTTCTTTATGAGTTTACAGAAAGCATAAATAGGATGTGTGGTTGTGTGTAGGTTAAAATTCAATTTGTCAGTTGTTTATATACCTCTTAGGTCATTTTTATAATTTGTTCCAGAACTAAGAAATATTATAACGTATTTGGGGTTGAGTGAGCTTTTACTATTTTGAACTTTTTATTTTTGTAAATAAAATTTGATTACTTGTAATTTAAATATTGTATGGAATCTAGTTATACGATTATATATTGTATCTACATAAAGAAAATTTAATTCATTAATCCACACTAACCAAACATCATCATTCCATTTTGTCTCCTTTTCTTATTTCATCACCCATTCATTTCATTCCTTCGTTATTCTATTATTTCTTGTCTTTAACTTAGGAGGAGTGACATCCATGGATGGATTCCTTAAAAAATTCTTCCCATCTGTCTATGAAAAGAAGTCACATTCCCATGAAAGCAACTATTGTAAGTTCAATGATCAAGGCCTTGCAGCCTTCACATCATCACTATACTTGGCTGGCCTAGTTGCAACACTATTTGCCTCCCCTGTCACGCGTAATTATGGCCGTCGGATCAGTATCATTTGTGGCGGAATCAGTTTTCTGGTGGGCGCAATACTCAATGCCGCCTCGGTCAACTTTGGAATGCTTCTTTCCGGTCGAATCATGCTTGGGGTTGGAATCGGCTTCGGTAATCAGGTACTTTGCTCAACCCATCAACGTATTTTTGTTGTTAACACTGCATTTGTTACAGAGGACATGATTACAAACTAGGAAAACAAAAGGGATAAAGTAATATGGTAAATCTTGAATTTTATTTGAGAAAATTGTTGGAAATGTGTAGCCTCAAACTTGTAAAGCATACTTTCTTTTTTTACCCTTAATAGCAACGTACTTATGTTTGCATACCTATAGCATCGGCATTGCTTTCATTTTACGTATAACTATAACATGTAAAATGAAATTTGTAAGCATTTTGCACGTTTCAAGCTATAAATTGCTATTATATGTAGAAAAATAAGTATATTTCTATTATTTAAAAAGTAAAGTACACAACATTGCTCCTACTTGTAACAAGAGTAAAGTAAATTTTTATTTATTGCAAACTATCCATTTGATTATCATATTATAACTAATGACATGTAAAGTGTATAAAAGGAAAAATAAAATAAGAAATGCACAATATGCATGTCATACATTCCTTTCTTGATGTGACTCTTGTGTAGTTCTTGTTTTCCATTCTAAAATTATAGATCACCCAAAATATACAATATAACATACTCTCGTAGTATAGGTTCCTTTATTTACCAAATTTCATCAATCATACATTCCTTTCTTGATATGACTCTTTTGTAGTTCTTGTTTTTCATTCTAAAATTCTTCTAAAATGATAGATCATCCAATTATGGGGTTCATTTAGGTTTGTCCCAAATATGCAATATAACATACTCTCATAGTATATGTTTCTTTTTTACCAAATATCGACAATCATACATTCCTTTCTTGATACGACTCTTGTGTAGTTCTTACTTTTCGTTCTAGAATTCTTCTAAAATGATAAATCATCCAATTATGGGGTTCATTTAGGTTTGTCCCAAAATATGTAATATACATACTCTCATAGTATAGGTTCATTTTTTACCAAACATCATCAATCATACATTCCTTTCTTGATATGACTCTTGTGTAGTTCTTACTTTTCATTCTAAAATTCTTCTAAAATGATAGATCATCCAATAATGGGTTCATTTAGGTTTGTCCCAAAATATACAATATAACATACTCTCTTAGTATAGGTTCCTTTTCTTATCAAATATCTTCAATCAAACAATTTAGGGTTTATATTATCTTTTTGGACCAAAATAGATCATTAGTCCAAAAATCTTATGAATTATGATACATTTAGCATGAATTTGGGTTTTCAAATTTTGATTCTTAGGCTTTGAATGGATTGTGTCTGTTCTACTAACATCAATCCAATTCCAATGTATGCCAACCATAATACAATATCTTCAATCTCCTTTCTTCTTGAAGGCAATACCACTTTATTTATCAGAAATGGCACCAACCCATTTACGAGGAGGCTTAAACATGATGTTCCAATTAGCAACAACTCTCGGAATCTTCTCAGCAAACATGATAAACTACGGAACAAGTAAGCTCGATCAATGGGGGTGGCGGCTCTCTCTCGGCCTAGCGGCAGCCCCGGCGCTTCTAATGACAGTCGGCGGCGTTCTTCTCCCGGAGACACCCAACAGCTTAATCGAACAAGGGTCAAAAGAAAAAGGGAGAAAAGTTTTAGAACGAATTCGAGGTACACAAAACGTGGACGCTGAGTTTGAAGACATGGTTGACGCGAGCGAGTTGGCTAACTCGGTGAAACATCCTTTTAGGAATATCTTGAAGAAGAGGAATCGACCTCAATTGGTTATGGCGATTTGTATGCCGATGTTTCAGATCCTTACTGGGATAAATTCGATCTTGTTTTATGCTCCGGTGTTGTTTCAGAGTATGGGTTTTAAAGGGAATGCTTCTCTTTATTCTTCTGCGTTGACTGGAGCTGTTCTTGCTCTTTCTACTTTGGTATCTATTGCGACTGTTGATAGATTGGGTCGAAGAGTTTTACTCATTGGTGGAGGCATACAAATGATCGTTTGTCAGGTAACCTTTTTTTTTTTTGGAAAAAATAACAATTATTTTTCAATTAATTGTTTGTTATACTATCTTATTTTCATTTTTTTTCCCCTATTATAAGGAATATATTTTGAAATCTATATTGTTATAGCAATGTCATTTACTCATTCACATATATATAAAACAATTATCACTTCTATAATTGTGTAGATTTTTCAAAAGATAATGTCATGAGAAAGAAGAAAAAATTGAAAGTGTGATGCTATAATTGTGTAGATTTTTCAAAGTATAGAATTTAACAAATATCTTAGAAAATGATGCATTGTTGAAAAAATGAAAGAAAATTTGGAAAAAGTTAGAAAGCCTCATCTGTCCATTTTGACCATTTTTCGGGTGAGTTCTAATTATTTTTATAATCTAAACCAAAGGACTGATCTAATTTTTGTTTTTGCCTTTTTATCCGGTTTATAGTTTACAAGTTGCTATAGGTAAACAAATTTCGAAATTTTCCGAATAAATGGTTAAAATATTGGGTCTTTTATTCAAATAAGCACAAAATGTTATTTGCATAAAAGATACAATTGTTTAATCACTTCTTCAGAAAAGAAGTTGAAAACGATTTATATTTTCTTCAATCTTGTGTTATGAAACAGGTCATTGTAGGCATAATATTAGGGCTTAAATTTGGCAACAATCAACAACTCTCAGAGGGTTATTCAATTGCAGTAGTGATTGTAATTTGTCTGTTTGTGGCGGCCTTCGGGTGGTCGTGGGGCCCACTTGGTTGGACAGTGCCAAGTGAAATATTCCCGTTAGAAACACGGTCAGCCGGTCAAAGCATTACGGTTGCGGTCAACCTCTTCTTCACTTTCATCATAGCACAATCTTTCCTCTCACTCCTTTGTGGTTTAAAATTTGGACTATTTTTGTTTTTTGCTGGATGGATTACTATAATGACAATTTTTGTATATATATTTCTACCGGAAACGAAAGGAGTTCCTATTGAAGAGATGATGTTGTTATGGCAAAGACATTGGTTTTGGAAGAAGATAATATCAGAAGATTTGAGGGAAGATGAGAGTTTTGAAAGGCAAAAGAATTCATTAGTGTTGCCTCAGCAAGCTCCTTGATGGCTAACGATTATTATGTAATAGTTTGATATAAATCAATGTACAGAAAAGATACAACAAACTTTTCTCATTTTGTTGAGGGGTAAATGCAAGAAGTAGCAACATATTTTCACCGATTTATTTATTATAGCATTATACTTCTATTTTTTTATTACATCATTATACTTCAAAAAATCTAACTATAACAATGTCGTCTAAATACAAAACAATATTCGCTACAAAAGTTGGATTAGATTTTTCAAAATATAGTTTTCGAAAAAGAAAATATTAGAAGTACAATATGTCTTGATAAGAAAAAAAAATGAAGGTAGATTGTTAGGGTAGTAAAAAGTGAAAAAAAAAAAGTTTGCTATAATAGTCAAATAAATGAAGGTATATTGCTATTTCTTACATTTTGACTTTTTATCTATTTAATTTCTTAACTTTTTTTCCTCCTTGAATATTTCATTACATTTTTAACCAATTAAAAAAATTGGTTTACCGGTTTTCATTAGTATTTCCTCAACAAGCTCCTTGATGGTTGATGATTATTATGCAATAGTCTGATATAACTCAATGTATAGAAAAGGTGCAACATGCTTATATCATTTTACTGAGGGGCTAAATGCAAGAAGTAGAAACATACTTTTACCAATTTGTTTATTATAATATTTTATTTTCATTTCTTTTTACTACAACATTATACTTTAAAAAAAATCCATCTAACCATTGTAATGTCTTCCAGATACAAAACAATATTCGTTGCAATAATTGGGTTGATTTTTTCAAATTATAAATTCCTAAATATGAGATACTAGAAATACATTATGCATTAATAAGAAAAAAGTGAAGGTACAAAGTTATAATAGTAAAAATGGGAAAAGGATGCTATAAAACTCTAATAAATAAAAGTATATTGTTATTTCTTGCTTTTTTTTTTTTTTTTTTTTTTTTTTTTTTTTTTTTTATCTATTTAATTTCTAAACTTTTTTCATTATATTATATCATTACCTTTTTAACTGGTTCAGAAACAAAATATCGTTAGCCGGTTTCGATATATGATATATTTTCATCATTTTATCGCTTTAGTAATTAAATTATTTTTAATCGATTTAACTATCTAAGTATTATTTCTTACCTATTGAACCATTTATCTATAATAATAGTAAACATAAGAGATGGAGTAAATTACATGTTTTTCCTGGTGGTTTGTGAAATGAAACAAGTTTAGTCAACAAAATTCAATTCTTGCATATTTCGGCCCTAATTGAAACATTTGCAACACTTTTTGTCCCTTGCCCTAACGCATGCCAGCCTCCCCTCATTAAGCCCCTCGAGGCAATATGCCTTGCATATGAACGTAGTTTCCACTCCTCGATCTCAAATCATGCCACTAGAGAAGAAAGTCGGTGTGCTTTTTTTTTTCTCTTATTCGCCTATCATTCTAATATCGGAGTTTTGACTTTTTGACAATCAAAGTCTTAAAATTGACTAGATTTAGCCACTAAAAATATGATTACTTTAAAATTTGAGTTTTGACTCGTTTTGCCATTTACAACATTCTATAGCAGATTATATGGTTTCTTTGTCTACGTGACATCCTAAATTAAATCATAAACTTTGATGATGCTAAATTAAACCCCGAATTTTGATTTTTAATTTGATTTTTCTTATTTAAACTAATTTTTTTTAATTTTCAATTTATTGATTTTTTATAGTCAAAACTAAACATTGTTTAGTTTTTCGTATTCTTTAACTTGTTTTTTTTCATCAAGTTGATAACTTTTTTTTTTTTTTTTTTTTTTTTAATACATTTTTCAAAAATCATAAAAATATATGAATATAGTATCGTATCTTACAATTTTGGCCTTAAAGGGTTTTTTTAGACTAAACTACACAAATGGTTCTTATGGTTTGCTCAAAATTATCATTTTTGTCCAAAAAAGAATGGATTAGCACTAGAGATCCAAAGTTTTCATTTTATTACTTGTTTAGTCCAATCTGTTTTCATTTTTTTTTAAATGATGGATTTGCCCTTGTAAATATGATTTTATTTTTTTTCTTATTTGTTTTT